TAAGAAACTAGAAGGGAAGCGTTTCTTTAGTTTGACAATACAATCTACGGATGGGTGCTTAGGTGAAATAAGATGCAAAATTAAATCATATGTGCTTAGCTGAATCTGTTATTAATCGAGAATATTGAAGTGTGTATTGTTGAGTTTTGGATTTTATTTCAGTTTTTTATTTTGAAAGAATTAAAAAAGAGGTTAAAAAATGTTTTCGTCTCTGCATTAAGCAAATGCAATCTATATTTTCTTTTATAAAGATTAAAATTCAACAATTAAGATAAAATTGTTCATATGCATATAAGATCATTGACAAAAAAAAACTTAAGGTAATAAAAAATCTTTGATGTCGCCTGTCGTCTGTTTTTTTTTTTTTTTTTTTTTAAGGATATAGAAGCAATTTTGTTTATTTGTTTACACTTGATTTTCTCGTGTCTTCAATAAAGGTCACTATGTATCAAATATCTTTCAGAGTTATTGTCTAAATCCCGATATACATGCGAAAATATATAACCTCCTTAAGTTTTATCCATGAGTGTATATGTCGAATTCAATGTTAAAAGATGTTTCCATGTGTTTTGAAGCATTCAATAATATCAATATTAAACATGGTTCACACTATATAGGCAATTATATATTTGGTGCATGTTGTGCATGTGGTACATGTGTTTCATGTGGTACATGCTATTCATGTCGTGTATATGGTACATTTTCTGCATGTTGTGCATGTGTTTCATGTGGTACATGCTGTTCATGTGGTACATGCTATTCATGTCGTGTATATGGTACATTTGGTGCATTTTGTGCATGTGTTTCATGTGATACATGATGTACATGTGATACATGTGTTTTATGTAGTACATACTGTTCATGTGGTACATACTATTCATGCGGTACATGTTGTACATGTCATGTATGTGGTACATTTGGTGCATGTTGTACATATGGTACTCTGATCCATGTGATACACGTTGTTCAAATGATGTATGTGGTACATTTGGTGCATGTGATACATATTGTTCATGTGGTGTGTGTAGTACATTTGATACATATTGTGCATGTGTTACATGTGGTACATGTTGTGCATGTGTTACATGTGGTTCATGTGATACATACTGTTCATGTCGTGTATGTGATGTATTTGTGTACAAACAATCTAAATTCCCTACTCATCTTAAAGATTGCGTTCTATACTATGTGCGACTAGATAGAAATATACAACAACTTATATAAAAAGTCAAAAGAGCATTTCTCACAACTTTTGTTATTTCTTTCTAACTCGGTAAGTTTGTGAAGCTCAAGAAAATACACCATTGTTTCTCCTTTTAAATTTGACATACAACTAAATATAAGAAAAAAAAATATTTTATAACGATTGAAAACCAAAAAAACAAATCAAATTCCTCCAATTTATCCAGACTAATATATTTATTAGCTTGATTGTCTTTATATAATTTTTCCTGTATATAAATATCATATTACCATTAAGGTATTATTACTTTTTTCCTGCATGTATCCTACATTTCTGCTTGGAGAATCTGTATAAGTCTAAAAGGTCTTAATAAAGTTTTTTGTTATTGTATAAACAAATTAAATATATTTATACTATTTTTACTAAAATGGAAAAAAATTTGGAAGGGCCATGTTCATCAGTGGTAAAACCTCTCACCTGTTTCGTCAGTATTATCGACTATTTTATTCTAATATTATATAGATATGGTTCTGCTATCCAGAAATATCGAGAGATTCTTCATAAAGATATTCAAATTTCATATCATAACAAAGTCTATAGGAAGTTATTTGGAAAATAAAATCGCACCAAATAGTTTAATTTATTGCTTATAGAGAGCGCGATAATGGATTATATTTAATATGCCCTAATCAACATGTGTTAGAGAGGTTTCTTGTTGATTCATTTGTAACACATTTATCATCTACCTTTGATGACGACTCGACATTCTTAGACTAATTGGCCATTAGAAATGGTCTTCTAGTTTTACTCCTAGGACGCACCAAACTGACTGATGCACTGTGGCTATGAACCAAGCAAGCAGTAAACCACCAGAGCTGCAACACAAGTAAGCATCCCCGAGTCAAGGAGATCCTTTAACTTCTGGAGTGTCAATAGCATTCAAATGGATATTTTCGAATACTTAGATTGCGAAATAATTCCAAAATAATTTGAAACCATATATGAATCAGTATAATTGCAAAAATATTATTTATTCAATAAAAATGGCAAGCTTTCAAGCGTTACCTCATCATCAAGCCAATTTTCGAATACCTAATACAGGTATAACATGAATAGACTCGTTAGCAACTCTTATATGATCTTAAAACATTTAGAAAGATGGTAAAACTTCTTTTAACTAGAAACCTGTTGTAGATTTTTAAAACCGCTCGACTTTAATGTTATCTACAACATGTATTTGAACCTGTATCATGATGACCTCAATATATATATGCATCTATTGTTAATATTTGAAAACCTTAATTGTCTGTATAATACGATTTTCTACATTTAAATTCTCTTAACAGATTTTGTTCTTTCATTTTGAACAATACAATTTCTAACAGTCAGCATTGCTAGCGTCATAACTTGGAGACGATGCCTGGCTCCCCTCATATTTAGCCTTTGTTTTAGACGGGTGTTTGTTAAACTGGGTTTTGGGTTGAAACCGTAGAGCTCTCAATTGTGCTTGGGTCCTAGCCAGCTGGAATATCGCCAGCTCCACAGCAACAAAGGGAGCATATTGTTACGCGAGCAGGGGAGAATTTAATATTGTAATTTTTAAAGCACTCAGTTCTATTGACAGCCGTTTTACACATTTATACAAATTATCTGAAGTTACAAATATGATGTACATATGTTCAATAAAAGATACAGATTGTGTTACGAGAGCAGGGGAGAATTTAATATTGTAATTTTTAAAGCACTCAGTTCTACACATTTATACAAATTATCTAAAGTTACAAATATGATGTACATATGTTCAATAAGAGATACAGATTGTGTTACGTGAGCAGGGGAGAATTTAATATTTATTGACAGCCGTTTTACACATTTATACAAATTATCTGAAGTTACAAATATGATTCACATATGTTCAATAAAAGATACAGATTGTGTTACGTGAGCAGGGGAGAATTTAATATCTATTGACAGCCGTTTTACACATTTATACAAATTATCTGAAGTTACAAATATGATTCACATATGTTCAATAAAAGATACAGATTGTGTTACGTGAGCAGGGGAGAATTTAATATCTATTGACAGCCGTTTTACACATTTATACAAATTATGTGAAGTTACCAATATGATGTACATATGTTCAATAAAAGATACAGATTGTGTTACATGAGCAGGGGAGAATTTAATTTCTATTGACAGCCGTTTTACACATTCATACAAATTATCTGAAGTTACAAATATGATGTACATATGTTCAATAGAGGATACAGATTGTGTTACGTGAGCAGGGGAGAATTTAATATTGTAATTTTTAAATTCTATTGACAGCCGTTTTACACATTTATACAAATTATCTGAAGTTACAAATATGATGTACATATGTTCAATAAAAGATACAGATTGTGTTACGCGAGCAGGGGAGAATTTAATATTGTAATTTTCAAAGAGAGCGTTAAACATTCAATGGAATTTGTTTCACATTATTTGATATTATAAATACTGTATGCTGTTTATTTGATGAAAGGTATATTTTTATTACATGAAGAAAGGTGAACATACTTTTTTCAAACAATTCAACTCTCTCTATTTCCAACTTCTTTACACATCTTTGTGAATTAAACGAAGTTACATATATGTTGTATATGCATATATGTTCAACAAAGGTATATATTTTACACGAGTAATGAAATTTCTATTATTTAAATTTTTAAAGCAGTCACACACAACTATCTTGGGATACGTATTGTAACTCTATTCAAATCAACAAGCAATCCAGGACTAGGTTTCCTTTATTATTCTGATCTCTTTATTTTAGCTTTCGGGCCAACACATGCCCTTCAGCAGAAGAACTAGAAGTTTGTCTTCCAGCTAACTATACACTAAGAAATAACGCGCCATCTATACATATAAAATGAAAGGATTTAAAATCACGAAGGTTTCTTTTATACACAATACAAACTTCTACTGCCCTTAATGCGATGAAAAAATATATTAAGAGGGCTTGGCTCATCAGTGGTGAACCCTCCCAGCGGTTTCGCCAATTTTATTTATTTATTTATATATATTCGGCGTTTATAGTTGATGTAAATGGACTTAGAGTTACACAGACGTATAAAAATAATTAAATTGTGTATATATTTATTTATTGGGTTTTGACTAGAGACTAGAGTAAATATATATTGTCGAAAGATATGTAAATCGGTTTTGTTTAATTTTTAGATTAAATTTGTTTTGTTAAATTGCTTCTATGTAAATATTTTTAAAGAAGGAAAATAAACTTTATTTTTTATAAGTTCTGATAATTTTTATAGCTAGAAGGATACATATTCAAGAAAATTAACAAAAGTTAGATGGAAGTCATATTTCTAGTTCTCTTGTTTAAGGGCATGTTGGCCCGAAAGAGCTAAAGAGATAAAAAATAGTTAAAGATACCTAGTCCTCTGGATTGCTTGTTGATGTTAATGATTTGTAAAGACATGGATGATAGAGTAGTATACTATTTATTATTTTTCACATGAGAAGTGTATTTAGGCAAACTTGGCCTTAAATACCCATTTCTTGATTTCTCAGGAAGCCTCTGGGACCAAATATTTGGTTGTAGAGGTACAGTCTGCACCACGCTAACGATCCCGAAAGGCATACGTAATTGAATTTTTTTATTTATCAAGAAATTGGATTGGCCAAATATCACGGAACAAGTTAAATAGTAGTAAGTCCCAAGTAAAAGTAGTATTCCCACGTGGTCTAGTGGCTAGGATATTTGACTTTCACCCAGAAGGCCCGGGTTCGATTCCCGGTGTGGGAAATTTTATGAGGAGATGTAGCTCAGATGGTATAGCGCTCGCTGCTTAGCATGCGAGAGGTACTGGAATTAATACCCAGCATCTCCATCTTTTCAGTGACTAGTTAGTGCAGTGAGTGTGGAACCTCGCAGCCAGACCACGAGATCTTAGTTCAAGGCCTCACTGAGACTCTTTTTTTTTTTCAAGCGACGGTGGTATAATGGTTAGCATAGCTGCCATCTAAGCAGTTGACCCGGGTTCAATTCCCGGTCGTTGCATTTTTTTAAAATCAGGTACGCACTCAGAGCTTAGGCAGAGGGCTATGTTCGAAAAATAAACAACAACATTAGTTAAATAAACTTTGAGTTTATTTTTGTTCCACTAGATGGCGCTCTGCCATCTAAAGATGCTCATATTAACCTGGTCAGGATATGCCTCTTTTATTTTTAGTGTACTACATGTATATATTAAGAAAAAGGCATCTCCTTATCGTGCAACTGAAAGTTGCTGATGGCTTGCGCCATCTATCGGAATAAATATCAACTATTCTCGTTGATTTTTAGTTATTCCAGTATTGGCCAAATAACCATTCTTGATTAATCAAGAAAAGCTAACCACGGACGCGTTTCGGGCTGTTGGCCCTCATCATTTTTTACATGTATATATATTATATATAAATAAAGAAATAAGATTTCTGTTGATTTTTGAATATTATTTTCTAATTAGTTTTGAATACATGAGTATGTTACGATATTGTTCTGCAGTCGTGGGAATAATAAAATAATTTTGATCAGAGATTTTTTATTTGAGCTAAGGAATATATATGTAGGGGACATGTAAAAATTATTGTTTTGTATTTCTATTTTATGTAAATTTTATTTGTTTTTAAAAATTCATATTTGTTTATTGCAAATATGCAAAGTTTCCATTATCTAATTTATATATTTTTTCTATTTAATTGGATTCATTCTTTTTTTTTTGTCTGAATATAATAACAAATAACAAGGTATAACCTTAGTGATTACAATGAAACAAAACTTGATTTTTGCAAGAAATGTTTTATGTGGATTATTGTTAATTAACCACCACATATATGAAAAACATAATTTGTTAAAAGTACTGCCTGGCTTAAGGCGAATAGAACAAGGATAAACAAAATATTATTTACATAATGTACAAAAGATTTGAGCCGGCCAGCGGGAAACAACAACAACGAGTTTTTATAGGGGAAGCGTGACCTCTGGCGATCGATTTAACAGAGTATTCGAATCTATGAAATATAATTTTAAATAAAATGATATTCTAATATAATATATATATATATATAGGGTAAGTAAAGTCCCCTATACACCTAACTTTCTCTCAAGTTCCTCCAAAGTCTAAGTTATCTCGGAGTCCATTATTCGAGCAGTAGTCCATCAGTAGAAATTGTGTTAAGTCCCGGCATGAAATAGAGTTATGGACTCCCACTTCCAACCTTAATTTATTCTCATTAAGATTCCATATACCCACTATATTCATTATCTTTGAAACATTTCTACTCTATTCATTAGTTAGTATTGTTAATTATCATTTAATATTATTTAATCATCATAGTGTAATTAGAAATTGGAACGAATTGTTAATATGTACGAAGCATATATTTGGAATTATTTATTGATGAAATTTAATAAATATATTATAAAAAAGGCATCTCCTTATCGTGCAACTGAAAGTTGCTGATGACTTGCACCATCTATCGGAATAAATATCTACTATTCTCGTTGATTTTTAATTATTATTCCAGAATTGGCCAAATACCCATTCTTGATTAATCAAGAAAAGCTAACCACTGGCGCGTTTCGGGCTGTTGGCCCTCATCAGCGTGGTGCAAGCTGTACCTAAACGACCCAAAAAACTGGTCATTTAGGTTTTCTGAAAAATCATGAAACGGGTAGTTAAGGCCAGAATTGCGTGAGATCGCGACACAATGTGAAAAAATAGTACAAATGTGATATTGTACTGGTATAAGGTGCATAAATTATTTTAAAAAAGGCATCTCCTTATCGTGCAACTGCTTTAAAGTGAACAAACAACAAAATCAGGTATTTTAAATTTGGAAATAGGTTTCTGATTATAGATACAAGAAAATAAGACCTAATCCAAATAAATTGATAGTGTGTGATGTTTCGGTAACAGCGTAGTTAATGTCACACACTATTAATTTATTTGGATTAGGTCTTATTTTCTTGTAACTATAAATCAGAAATATAATTTAAAGTTTATAATTCCTGATTTTTTTGTTGTTTGTTCACACACTGACAAATAGATGTCAATCAATTCAAGTAATTCATGCTCTCTTTACAAAATTAAAAGCAGAAATTCGTTTAAGCAAAATTAACCATGCAGCAATATGATCAATAGATCTATAATCCAAATTGTACTTTATCATAGATATCGGATTATTAGAACGCAGCGTGTGACGTGAATAAAACAAAAATTAAGCATTATAGTTGAATGACACCTACTGCTGGAATACCCACTCTTCTTCACCGCTAGACAAAAGACAGTAAATAATGTTTTAGATCTATATCAATTTGTAAATAGCAGAGAGAAATATCATAGATTTAACTATTTTTGTAAATATATTTATGATTATATATCTTTCAAACCTGAAAAGTTCGGGTTCCTAATATATATTATTGTTTCTCTTTTTATTTTGATTACTCGGATGAAGATGTCCAGAAAGTGGTGCAATATTTTTTCACACGCTTCCTAAGAGTGCCTATAAAGAGGGTATTTACAAGTTGCCAGAACGATAGAGACGATGTATAGAAAGCCAAGGTGATTATTTTGAATAAATCAAGTCCTAATTTTTAATATCGTTCTTATTTTTTAAAATAAATTATAATTCACCTTATTTATTGATCCCACGTTGTATGTTTATTACTGTTTCGGTTTTTAAAAAATGTAAATCGACGCAATTATCCCAATTCGGGATATCGTGTTTTGTGTGTTGAAATAAATTATAGTTGAATGAAAAAAAGAGTAAAAGCCCCGATATTGTGGTCGTTACATGTACAAGGTAATGTCAAAGTAGCAACTCACCCCTACACGTTTCCCTCAGATCGAACAGTAGCCTCGACTCCCCAGGGTGCCATAGTCTCCCACTTAGGGATCCTCGAGGGTTATCTGAATGACAGAGGATAATTGTTTCCCAGCCACTTGCATTCCAAATCATACCTATTTGTCATTTTAATGCCCAAAATGGTCTTTTTATGAAATATTTTAGAGATTATTTTATGATAGGTGTCTTAAAAAGTCTTTTTAGAATAAATCTTTTGATATATTGAAAGGATTATTCATTTTACAAATGGGCACAAAAGAAACTTTTAAAACTTTAATAAAAAAACATCTCCTGATCGTTCAACTAAAATTTGAATATGTTTAATTATTCCAGAATTGACCAAAAATACCTTTTCTGAATTACTCATGAAAAGCTAACCAATGTATGTATCAACTTGATCACATTTATTTTACCACTATTTCAGTTGGCTGAACTCCAACCTTTATCAAGGTATTATAACATTTTAATGTGTGCCAACAACAAAATCAGCACCACATAGCGTCAATAGAATTAAGTTTTAAAATATTTTTGCTTATATTCAATAGGGATAAAAATTTGATATATATATTTATATTATGGACAAAATATTTTTTTGTAAAATAAAGGTGTGAATATTTTGTATATTAACAATAACGCCTAAATTATTTGCCCAACCTTGCAAACATTTTATGCGCTTTGTGTTTTAGTTCAAGCATTTCTTTTATATATAATTTGTACCAGAAGCACATGTACTTTTTAGATGACAGAGCGCCATATAATGGAACAGAAATCAACTAAACGTTTATTTAGCCTGTTCCCTGATATTTGACCAACCCATTTTCTTAATAAGAAAATGTTATTATTGTTGAGGATAGACCGTGTTTACCATTACACCACCAGCCAACATAGTATTTAATTATAATTAATAAATTTTATTAATAAATTATTTTTAATAATTATTAAAAAGGCATCTCCTTATCGTGCAACTGAAAGTTGCTGATGGCTTGCGCCATCTATCGGAATAAATATCAACTATTATAGTTGATTTTTAGTTATTCCAGAATTGGCCAAATACCCATTCTGGATTAATCAAGAAAAGTTAACCACGGACGCGTTTCGGGCTGTTGGCCCTCATCAGCGTGGTGCAAGCTGTACCTCAACGACCAAAAAGCTGGTCATTCAGGCATCCTGAAAAATCATGAAACGGGTAGTTAAGGCCAGAATTGCGTGAGATCGCGACATAATGTGAAAGAAATAGTACAAATGTGATATTGTACTGGGATAAGGTGTATATATTATGAAAAAGGCATCTCCTTATCGTGCAATTGAAAGTATTTAATGTAAACACATCTATATGAGATACTATAGAAAAATATCTAATCAAAATTCGACATAATAAAACGTTAAGTAAAATGGTTTTAAAACCCGGCCGTCGAAACCAGTAAATTTAAATGAAGCTAATCAAGTTGAGCAATAAAAAAAGGTGAAGTCATTCCAAATATCTCTAATCTCTAAATCCTCTCATTACCCGAAGAATTACTTCCCTCTAAGCCGAACATTTGAATAAAATAATTACAGACGATTGGGCGGATTTACTAATAGAGCAAGTTTTAGAAAATATATATTTTTCATAGATTTTATTTAATATAATTAGTCTCAGTATTATATATATACAAATGTTTAATTAAAAAGGCATATATTGGATCAAAATATCATTTATTTTATAAAGTAAATAAAGCTTCCAGGGTTAAGTTTCTTGTTAAAATTTTTATTTTCAAGCTTTCGGACTTGTGTGTCAGTCCTTCAACAGGAGTATCACGATAATAAATTGATGATATATACTATTTTTATATACAAATTAATTTTTACATATTTTAAATATTAATGATATTGAAAGGGGGAGAAAATATATATTACCTTCTTTGTATGTTATAAACAATTTTTGAAACCAATATATTGATATTTTGATCCAATATATGCCTTTTTAATTAAGGTTTTATTTATGGATTGCTCTATTTTCAGAAAATATATACAAATGTGTGTTTTATTTAATATTCTATTATTGTTTTAAAATAAATAATATTTTTTGCATAAATTTGTGTATCTTTCTCTTTAGATAAAATATATTATGTTGAGATGTGGAATTACTAATTTTTATTATGTTTTTAATTAAGGAAGAAAGTATAATATTAGTTAAAACTGTAGATGAAAAAGAATTGAAAAGGTTTGGTTCATTGGTGGCGAATCTTTTTAGCGAATTCGTCAATTTCCTCCATCAAATCTCTACAATTATTGTATTACAAATGAAAACACCACAAAACGCGAATGTTTCTTTCCACAAATAAATCAAAATTCTACTGTCCTTACTGGAATGAAAAAATATTGGGAGGGCTTGGTTCATCAGTGGTGAACCCTCCCAGCGGTTTGACCAATTTAATCTAGCAGATCGCCTCTTTAGAGCTCTAATACTGTATTTGATCATTCTGCTTATATACGAGTATGTTTCACTGAAAGGTGGAATCTTAGAAATGGTATTCAAGCAAACTATAAATATAAGCTTTTAGGACAGTAGAATTACATTTAAATATTTACATCGAGCAATGCTCTTCCGTAAACAATAAGGACAAGTTAGACATAAATTAATACAAAGCAATAAAGCGCCATCTATATATAACAAATGAAAACATTAAGACGCGAATGTTTCTTTTCACATATCAATCAAACTTATACTCTCTTTACTGCGATGAAAAAATATTGGGAGGATTGTCTCTTCAGATGCTTTTCATCTCAGTAAGGGCAGTAGAAGTTAGATATTTATTTGTGAAAAGAATCATTCGCGTCTTAATGTTTCCATTTGTATTATATAGATGGCGCTTTATTGAAATGTATATGGAAGTTTTGCATTTCAGCATGTATATCGGGATTCAGACAATAACTTTGAAATATATTTGATGGATGAAACGGAGTTGTATAAACTGTCGGTTTTTGACAGTCATGACCCGGGATCGAATCCCACCTTTGGCATTTTTTATTTAATTACAAAAAATCGATCTGGATTTTTTCAAAAGTCCACCCCAATCAGTATATATTTTTATATATACATATATAAATAGTATATATCATCAATTTATTATCGTGATACTCCTGTTGAAGGACTGACAACTCTGAAAGCTTGAAAATAAAAATTTGAACAAGAAACTTAACCCTGGAAGCTTTATTTATTTTATAATATTTAAGAACATGTTTTAGATAACCATTTCTGAGATTCCACCCTTCAGTGCTGCGTATATAAGCAGAATTGTCCAATAAAAAAAAAAGTCCACCCCAATCAGTAATTTCAAGTAACAAAGCGGGGCTATGGTACATTTTTAAGTGCAAAATTCAAACTATGCTTTTCATATATGTAGACATGTGGTGAAATTGCAGTAAAACCATTCACCAACCATGATTATTCATGGCCTGTACCATGTATAGATGGTGCGTTATTGCTATGTACAATTATTGTATGTTAATTCTGCCAATATACTATGTCATGCATGTAGTCCATAAAATCTGCAGATTTCAGGTGTTCGATGCCTGTAGATCACAGCGTTCGAGTACCAGAATGAGAACCAAGATAGTTCTTCTGACCTCCGCACAGTTCGCGAATACATAAAATCAATCCTTTCTAAACCAAACCGAAGTATAACTAAACATCTTACTTAATAACCTGAAATATTTCCACGTGGAAAATTAGGAAAGACAAAACAACTTCAGGATAACACAGCAATTTATTTAAGGCAAGCTGTGTTATCCCGAAATTTGTCTTTTCTAATTTTCCACGTGGCAATATAGTAAACCATTACTATTGTAAACTAACACAAAGCAATAACGCGCCATCTATACATATTAAATGAAAGGATTTAAAAGCACGAATGTTTCTTTTATACATAATATATTTTTTCATCGCAATAAGGACAGTAGAAATTTGTATTATGTATAAAAGAAACATTCGTACTTTTAAACTCTTTCATTTACTATTGTAAACTCGAATTAAGTGAAATTGTAGTTTAACATATCGAGGGGTTTTGCTATCTTTAAGATAATGGTATCTTAAGTTTTCATAGAGAAATTTTATAAAATCTCTATAATTTACATTTTTATACAAACAAAATTATGACAAAGATAATTTCCCTATTTACTATGGAAGGAGAAATAAAAGTCAGGCAGAAGAGATTATTTATATAAGAAAATATCATACGAATTGTTGAAGTAAGAAGTTGAATTACAAGAAAAGGAATCGCCTGACATCATTTAAAGAATAAACAAAAGTTAACGTCGACGAATCTGAACTTCTATCTAAAGGTCTGAAATACAGAATACCAGGGAAATCTGATCCATTTAAAACTGTTTCCAGTATAGAATCAGCCATTCACAACTTTAATTCTCAAGAAAAATCCTCCATTCGTAACACCATATCTTCCACTCTACAAAAATCTGTATCTCAAAAAATGAACCTAAGAGAACTCAAGATCATTAACCAATTAAAAAGAAAAAAAGATCTTGTGATTTGCCGCTCTGACAAAGGGTCTCACACAGTAGTCCTGAACCGCATAGACTACCAAACTAAAAAATTCAGGACATCCTAAATGATACCAAAACCTTTTGCCCAATCACAGTTCCTGATAAAAACCGAATACATACCAGGTTTAAGCTTTCTCTTGGCTCCCTCAAAATAAAAGAAACTCGTCTATTCTTCAAAAGAAGTTGAATATTCTTCGAATGTGAGAGCTTGTAAAAAATAGGAACTTACCCTCTATTATTAATTTGTTTTATTTTTTTGCTTTGTCGTCTGTTTTGCACAAGTTGAATCTGGTTAGAACGATGTATGTAAATTAAATGATTATTGTGTTGCCTTAAATACGGGGTAATTAGCTCGTTTCTATATATATCTAAAAATGTTTAATGTTTTTAATAAATTAATTTTATAAATCTGAGAGTTGTCTTCAAAAACGATCCAACAATTATCCTCTAATAAAAGAAGCTATTCTCTCTTCGACTTGTGTTTTTTTTTTTCTATTATAGTGAAATGGTTAGTAGAACGACATTTGAAATACTATCCCGCATGTGTTTCTTTTGAACTAAAAATCGAAATTTATTTCAAGAAGAAATAACGATTATTTCTAACCTTAAGGAAGAAATATGAAAGGATGAATTGTGAAGAGTAATGATAAACGAAAAATAAAGTGTCCAGGGATGGCGAATCGAACCAACAGTATTCTGATACCGGGCAGATGCCATGTCTACTAGGCTATCCTGGACATATTTTTCGGTTAATAGATAGTATAATAAAATTCTTCAAATTATTTGAAACTGTTGACTTTGCTTAGAATATTTTAATGAAACTGATTCCAATTATTAATTAAACATTATATTTATTGATTTACAAGAGAGAGAACAAAATATAAAAGGGAAACTAATATTAAAACAAAGGAACTTTTTTTTTCGGTTAGCGCCTATTTACCTGTGAGCTTACACACACTCTGTGGAACAATTAATTAATATATATACAACAGAAACAAAATAAAATTTAAATTTGAGAATTTTCATTAAAAGGTATTCATTCTTAAGAGAATCGTATGAAACTATAGAGAAAAATCAAAAGAATATATTTTTGTTGTATATTTGGGAAAAAGCAATCAACCAATGATAAAGAAGACATTTCAAATAGTTGACAGATCAGACGACCTCATATTTGAATCATTGGGTCATTGGGAAGAAAATAAAAAATCAATTTCGATCTAAAGGATCGATAGTATCCAGGGATTTGGCAGTTCCACAATCAATCCGTTGTTTGTTTCATCTCCAGGATATTTCTTCCAAACTTCGAACTTAATGTCTGTCGCCATTTTGTTTCTGACTTTTTGTTTTCTTTAATAGTCATTTTACATTATTATACAATATAATGCGGCTTATGATTGTAGAACGACATTTGAAAATTATCCGGCATGTGTTTCTTTTGAACCAAAAATCGAAACTTATTTTAAGGAGAAATAACGATTATTTCTAACCTTAGGGATGAAGTATGTAAGAACGAATTGTGAAAAACTTTATATAATATTTACGAATGAAGAAATATGTCCAGGTTAGCCTAGTGGACATGGTATCTGCCAGGTAAGCGGAACACTGTGGGTTCGATTCCCATCCCTGGACACTTTTATTTTTCCGTTTATCATTACTCTTCACAATTCATTCTTTCATACTTCATCCCTAAGGTTAGAAATAATCGTTATTTCTCCTTAAAATAAATTTCTATTTTTCGTTCAAAAGAAACACATGCGGGATAATTTTCAAATGTCGTTCTACAATTTTACATTATTTTAAGATGGAAATATAAGGGGAAAACTACTTATATAATATAGGGCAAGTATATGACGTGTAAAAGCCGATTTATAAACTTGTTTTCGTTGATAAATCTAATTGTTAAACATTTTAAATATTTATTGATACATTCAAAGTTCAAATTCAATTTAAAGACGAAAAAGGGATGAAATTTATTAGCAAAGTGAACGAAAATCCAATAATTGTTTTTCAACAATACTTGTACAATATTATTTGTAATATCGTAAATACAAATTGACACGAATATTGCTCTTGTTAAGCGGTACCTAATAAAGTGATTTTGGAACAAGAAACGAATATTACACTACCTATATAAGCCATATTATCACAATATATTTCAATAATGGTAACTATTCTGCATATCGCTTAAACTTTTAAGAAAAACATTGAACATATATAAGAAAAAACTACTTTTGCTAAATATTTGTGAAATACGTTGTTCAAAAAAAGAAAGTTTTTCAAGAAAGAGTACTGATAAAGGTTGGTTAAACCCATAGAGAAAGAGCCAAATATGAAAAGTATTAAAGGTAAAGATTGGTAAACATAGTCCAAATGAAAATAGAAAAGCAGACAAAAAGACTACAGGTAAAGTTTGGTAATACCTGCGTGTTCAAAATAATGAAAAAAAAAGAATAAATGATATAGGTAAAGATAGTTGATTTTCTCTCTCTTGAGGTAACCCAGATTCCGGGAGCGAAGAGTTGATTTTGATTCATATTACAATAGGAGGAAAGCCCGGTTATCTTATTGCTAAGAAAAAATAAAAGCTCAGGTATTTCTTTTCGGGTTAATTGGCCAATTAGAGCATGGTCTTCTAACCCCCATGGCAGATTTCCAGTGGCAAGGGACCCTAGGATCTGACAACAAAGATGTCTCGTAGGGATGGAAGAAACGTGGAGATGGCAGGGGACAGCGCCTGAGAGTAGTGAGAGACAGGAGTCTTGGCAGGGGATGAAGTACAGTAGAAGAGGCCAGTGAAGGTGGAGGCAGGAGGTCCAGGAAGCCTAGAACTTGAGGGCCCTCAAGATAAAAGCTCATACAGAGCGATGTATGTGTTTGTTTATTCTAAGTAAAGCTGGTTAAATTCGTTGTCAAAACTATAAAGTAAACAATTAAGACTACTAGGTAAATTCGAAATTATTATAGACGCGTATGATTATTTAAAAAATAAAACAATTTCTACTGCCCTTACTGCAATGGAAAAATTAATGGGAGGGCCTGGCTCATCAGTGGTGAACCCTCCAAGCGGTTTCGCTAGATTAATCTACCATACCGCTAATATTGTTATATAATAGTTTTAAATTTTCATAACAGATGGCGCGCTAATGCATCATAATATTACTAGTAAATATTGGTAGACCTCAAATTAAAGGTAGAAGCAAAAATAATAAGCAAATAAAACTTCAGTCAACAATTCATAAAAAACAAAGTGTGTGTAAAAGAAAACAATATTTTTCTGCTGTCTTAGATTGGCCAAAACAATTGTTATAAAAATAGAAGACAAAGAAAATAAATTCTCAAAATAGTTAAAAGGTTATTAATATAGATCCAAAGAACTTAAGAATTTTAAAAACCTAATACACCAATAAAATGTAGATAATGCTAATTATTTTGGGACTAAAAGGGGTGAATATCATTAAAGCAATGATAAAGGATGGAAGTCAAATATAAGAGGGTGTTACTAGGGGGGAAAATACTCATTAGAGGAATGATCAAATAAGCAATGTTGGGGGTCATGAAACATTCCCTGAGAATTTTTTAAAGTACATTCTCGAGGAGGACATGGTGAAGAAAGGTAAAATAGCGCCGGGCCATTTATCAGAGTCGTCAATAAGCTGGATGGTAATGGAGGCCAAGGAATGCGGCCGCACACGCAATTAGAGGGATCGATGATTTTGAATTGTCTCGCCTCCTTCTTCTTCTTCTGCAGATCCTCTCTGGATGTCGCCTCACTTAATCCATGGACACTCTATATACTATCTGTATGGTGATATCACAGTCCACTTGGAGAGATCGATGGTACTGAGTTGACTGCCTTTGCTTTTCTTCTTCTGCAAATCCTCTCTGGAAGTCGCCTCACTCAATCCAAAGACATTCTATACAGTATGTGTATGGTCATATCACAGTCCACTTGGAGTGATCGATGGTTCTGAGTCTTATTCTTCTTCTGCAGATCCTCTCTGGATGTCGTCTCACTCATCCAAAGACACTCTATACACTATCTGTAATGTCATATCACAGTCTACTTGGAGGAATCGATGGTTCTGAGTTGACTAACCTTCCCTTCTTCTTCTTCTGCAGATCCTCTCTGGATGTCGTCTCACTTAATCCATGGACACTTTATACATTATCTGTAGGACGATATCACAGTCTACTTGGAGAGATCGATGATACTGAGTTCACTGCCTTTGCTTTTCTTCTTCTGCAGATCCTCTCTGGATGTCGCCTCACTCATACAAGGACACTCTATACACTATCTGTAATGTCATATCACAGTCTACTTGGAGAGATCGATGGTACTGAGTTCACTGCCTTTGCTTTTCTTCTTCTGCAGATCCTCTCTGGATGTCGCCTCACTCATACAAGGACCTCTATACACTATCTGTATGGTGGTGTAACGGTCCAGCTGGAGAGATCGATGGTTTTGAATTGCCTTGCCTACTTCTTCTTCTCTGGATCTCGCCTCATTCAATCCAAGGACACTCTGTACACTATCTGTATGGTCATATCACAGTTCACTAGGAGAGATCGATGGTTATTAGTTGTTTCTCGCTCCTTCTTCTTCTTCTGCAGATCCTCTCTGGATGTCGCCTCACTCATACAAGGACACTTTATACACTATCTGTATGGTGATGTTACAGTTAAGTCTAGTTGTAGAGATCATTGGTTCTGAGTTGACTAGCCTTTCTTTTCTTATTTTGCAGATCCTCTCTGGATGTCGCCTCACTCATCCAAAGACACTCTATACACTATCTATAAAGTCACTATCTATAAAGTCATATCACAGTATACTTGGAGTGATCGATAGTTTGAATTATCTTGTCGTTTTATTATTCTTCTATTTGTTACAAATTATTTCAATTATGATATTATAACACTATGCGGCGCTGAGTTTGTTTATACAAAAATGTAATGCCTTGTTAAAAATTGGCGTTCAGCCAACCGAAATATTGGCGAAAATAACTTTTATTCAATCCAATATATGCCTTTTTATTATATAATATCGAAATATAATGAAAATATATCGAATTGTGTCCATTTCTTCTTTTATTATTATTAATAGATCTTCTGATGGAGATTTCTAATTGTCCAATAATCAGGTCCCTTCTGAACTATCTTTGAATGAAGAATGTAAGAGAATATTGTGGATACATCAGTAGAAGGAATCCAGTAGAAAACTATGATGCAATCATACATATTTAAGCAAGTTACATGTAATAAATCCATTCATTTAGAAGTTAATGAGTCCTTTGACCTTCGCGACAGTGACGTCCGTAAAGATCATAAAAAGTGTCACACGCCACTATTTCTTAACACGACCAATTATACAGCTCTAATAGATTCGTAAGATCTTCTTGCTGACGGATCTTGGTGACATCTTTTTGAGATGGCCATGGCTCAAACTGAAGATATAAATGTGAGGATTCACCACTGATCAGCTAAATCATCTCAACTAACTACACTCATGGATAAAACTATAGAAAGTTAGAAAGTCTTTTTTATCACCACTCGTCTATTTTTTTGTTTACACTTGGTTATCTCGTGTGTTTCTTCAATAAAGGTCACTGTATATTAAAAATCTATCAGAATTATTGTCTTAATCCCGATATACATGCTAAAAGATATAACTTCACCAATTTAATCTCCATACCGCTTTACTATTGACAATTGATAATTAAAAGCAGTTTATTGACATCTAG